AAAATTATTTCGATCAAATACATCATTTTCCAAAGAAAATTTCATTGTCAAAAACGACGTTTCATATGCACCAGTCTAATAATTCAAGTCCTCAAAAGATCAAGCCTGCTACCCGAAATAATGACTAATCAACTAATCCACTTTATCTACTAATCCTCCACTTAAAACCCGTCCGAATCATCAGAACGTACAAAAGCTGGTGTTCTAGCCGTTCTAATAAATTGGCCAACTCGATGCAATCACCGATCATTATCGCTGCTTGTACAACCGTGTGCAATGTCATTCGTTAGACGTCCACGTCTCGATAGATGCTTGTCGACCGCTCAAAGGCCCGGGAATTAATGGCACCGTTTGTCAATTCGAACGAACGCCGGAACATTGCGTCGAACATTCGAGTACACGGTGCTACGTCGACGAAGGAAACGGAACCGACGAGTCAACGTCAACCGCCGTTCCGATTTTGACAAACGACGACCAGCCATCGCAAATTATACGAAACGGTATAGTTGAACCGAAGAACGTGAAAAGAGTTCGTCCGTTTCAGAGCTGTGTACCGATCGTAGACAGCAGCAACAGCAGCATCGTCTACGTGGAAAATTCGACGACGTGAACGAGGTCACTCGAGGCTTAGCGAAAGTAAATCGAGCTTTGCATTAATTTTTCCGCGATTAACGCCGTTTGATGCTCGCTGAGGATGCTGCGACCGTGAATCGAGCGATTCTAAAACGTGTACGAAATGGGTTTTGTACAGAGAAAATCAGGTAAGCTGTAGCACTCTCGCTTTCGAAATGGCACGCGGATGTGTCTGTGCGAACATTTCAAAAGTGGCTTCGAAGGAGCGAATTTAGAGACGTGAAATTTCCTTTGAGGGAGAAACTGAAAATGAATTGTCGAATGGCAGGGAATTGCTCTTCGGTTCTTCCACTGACTCGGGGTTCTTCCGTTTCTCTCTCGTAAACGGTGCAAATTTTCGGGAATGAATCCGACGATTTGCAAAATGGCTCCAAGTGGCGTAGTTGAGGGCTTTCGAAATTATGCGGGAAGTTGGTGAAGAATTATCCGTTAGCATGAATGCGTAAACCTATTTTGGTGGAGGTGCAGAGAAGACGTGGAAGATAGGCGTGCGAAGTAAGGAAGCTAACACAAGCTGATCTTCGCAGAAATTAATATGCAGATTCATCATGATTAAACTTCCAGCACTTTTCTATGAAATGTTTCTTACCTTCGATGTTTTAGACTGTTTCTTAAGTTACTCTATTTGTAAATACATTTTTCACAAAACTTCTCTGAAAATGTTACTTTCACGAGTGCTTTTTCAAATAATTAATTCTTATTACAGTTCTTTGAAATTCCACATTATTTACATCTCACATTTCAACCAATTGAAGCACATTCATTTTCGAATCTGCGCTAATAAGTCACTTACTGTAAATGGCCAAAGGAAATTTTCACTTCATTTGAAGAAAGTAATTCTGAACGATCGTTATTTTGTGCTAATTTTAATAGCGACAGGTGTATAACGATCGTTATTTCGTGGTAATTTTAACGGCGACAGACGATCTTCGGTGTACAATATCGTAAACCGATTTTCGAAATGATAGCGTTAGTATCAAATGTATAATTATAAAATAGATTGCCAGCAAGCGGATGTAGCCAAGAAGAGGCTGAAAACGATGCACACCCTGCTGCATAATGCAATTTCCATTACAACGTATGATTGCAAATTATCTATAGCTTTGCACGGCGATCGTAGCAGCTATTGAATTTGCAGAGACAAAAGTAAAGAATTCGCGAGATTCGATCGGTCTCGACAAAATGCCGCGACATCAAATTTTATCGTGGATCATTAGACCACGACTCGCGTGAAATAAAATAGATCGTAGTAAATTGCAAGCAAAAACAGAATGTTCGAGATTGTGCAACTGAAAATTCAAACTCTAAAACTCTTGTATAATATAAATTATCGTCTTTCTCCCTTCGTTTGTAACTCGTAAAATCGAGCTACTGTCGAATTTCATTTTCCCATTAATAATAACAATTCGTGAAGAAAATTGAAGATTGAAAGTCCCGCGATGCGATTTTTAATAAAAGCCAGCCGTAAGATCGAAGCGAGATTATCTTTAAACAGGGTAATACGGCGTGTTGATTTTCGTTTTTGTTTAAACGAGATCAAGTTAAGTTAGGTGTCCCTTCGGAGTGATAAAGATACTAAAGGCAAACGAATGGTGTTCGATAAATTGCGAAGTTGTCGCTTGGAAGATTCCTTTTACTGTTAAGAGCAATATACACCGGATTAAAAGGCATTAACGTCGGAGGAAGAACATTCTTGGAAATTTCGAGCTCTTAGAGATTATTTCTACAGATTAAGATTCAGTTAAATATGATTGCAACGAAATTTTAGTTAACAAGCTCACGGCTA